GGAGGCTCCGCGACCGGAAAATGAATAATTTATTTCAAGAAAGGAAAAAGGAAAAAATTGTGTCATTGAAAGAAAGGTTTCCACGTATCGCGTTAAAACTAAAATACCTTTATCGACGCTTAATTTATGTAAGAGCGTTAAGCTCACCGCAAATAGCGTCGACAAGTGGATACCGAACAAGTGTTAACCTTCGATGCTAATTAATCGAGTAATCGTGAGGAGTGGTGGTTTTTTAAATTTGCCCTGCTATCGAATTATCGGTGTCTCGGTTCACAGATAAAATCGCGAGATCATCGTGCACGACTATCGTCTTAGACGAACAAACAATGTTCAGCTTCATGTTGAGTTTCAACAAGTTCCACGTATTCGAATAATTTTTCGATTAATCCGTCGCTATTAATATTCGCTCTCTTTTAAATTGAAATTTAGAGAAAATAAAACAAGAAGAAAGTAATTTCTCTCCACTCTAGACAGCTTGTTTTTCCTTAACCAGTATTACATGACGTCACACCGAATTAGCCTTTCGTTTTTGTGGTTGTATAAAACTTGATAATAAGTTCAATAGTAATATATTTTATAACAATAACTATAAACACACGTAAAAAGAAATAATGATAATTTGATCAACGCTCTCTGAATATATCTCGCAATAAATTCTCACGTACTCACTGATATCAATAACAACGCGCTTCTCCTGTTTAATTGAAATTTAGAGAAAATAAAACAAGAAGAAAGTAATTTCTCTCCACTCTAGACAGCTTGTTTTTCCTTAACCAGTATTATATGACGTCACATCGAATTAGCCTTTGGTTTTTTTAATCATCGTCGCGAAATTGAGTTTGCAATTAAAGTGAAACAGATAACAACCCGTTCATCCAGTTCGTCGTCCTGACCTTGCGTGATTTTAGGAGACTTCTTCAGTTCTTGTACCTAACTTACAGGCGACATATGACGTACGTGTGTAACGTACGCACATGATCGCTAGAACCACGAGATTTTCTTCGTTCCCGCTGACGTCAACCGGTAATGAGAGCCATAGTGTCATTAACGTTCTAATTACGTGGCTATCTGCGAGATGTTTTCCTTTGATTAGCCCTCCGTTACACGTGCCGCGCCAGATGGACGATCGAAAGCGAAGTTCCTGTTATTGCTGGCCTGGCTGTTGAGATCGTTTAACGAGAAGATACAGTTCTCTTAGTCTAATGTGATTTAATTAGGCGTGTTTACCTTTTCGTTCGTTTCTGGGAAGTTGCAGCGATTGAACAACGTACGCTGCTCGTTAAAAAAGAATTGGAACACCTTAACCCTTTCGCTACGGCAGATTTTAATACGTAACATGGGTTTTAAGCACGGCTTCAAAATTTGCTATTTTAGCCGTGTAGTTTTAAAATTCGGTTAGTGCGTAAAAGTGCGTATTAAATTAGGGTGGAAGAAATGTTCAAAACGCCTGCAGGCCCCAATATTAATGAAAGGGTAGGAAACGAAATTGCACGAACCTTAAATTCACATATGTTGTTCGGGGTATTGAAAGAGAAAAATGATTAGAATTTGGTTGACAAAGGTTTTTCAGTTACCGAGATATAATTAATAATGTGCTGAATCGCCTTGCGATTGAATAGGGTAACTGTACCTAATATGGAACACCGCAGTATCTCGGCAAATAAGCAGCGAAATTAATCGGCCATAGCGTAAGATATTTCATTGTAATAGATATTTGAGCTTTAGTTACAACGCGAAGTTGATTGTTTGAAAGCGTATAAAAGTTTTCGAGAGGCCAGTTAAATAGTGAAATTTTTCAGAGAACATAAGGTAAAGAAATGTTACTTTTGCATGATTTATCATTAAACATATTCCTTTTTGTCTTCAAAAGAAATTTACCGTTAAATTTTCTTTCTTAGTGTAATTATTATTTTTTTGTCGAAATGCGTATGTACTTAATATGGGTGCATGTTCCTTATTAATATTATATTTTTACCATTATAAGTACATTATATTATTGCACTACTATATATTACATAGTTTTATGCTATTGTGGCGACCGCCACGGGGGAGGGCACGTACTTAGGCCTGGCGACTCTTGGTCCTCGAGGCGAAGAATCGAGAGATGTTTTTCCAAACATCTTCGAGTTTCTTCGTCCTCGAGGACAAGAGTATTGCCCGCGCCCCCACTTCCTGGGACTTTCCCAGAGAAAAGGGGCTACTTAAGGGAGCCCCGAAAAAGGCACGGAGGCCTTTTGTCGTAGACATTCTCTGCACGCGCATCATATAGTTTACATTTGAAATTAGTTTAAGCATTACGTTTAAATAAATATATTTTCGTTACCCACTTGGCGAGCAATCATTTGCACCACGTCACTTCCAAACTGTCATTATTATTATTATTTATACAAAAATTAAAAGAAAATCTTTGGACAACGTTCTAAAAGTGGAAGATATTTGTTTACGGGTCTACGGAGGCATAGGAAAGCTTGAGAAAGGGAAAATAGCAGGGTAACTGGACGAAGTCGCGTTTTATGGTCTTGAAATCACCCGTGGATCTATTTTTTCCGGATAATCCACTTTATTCACTTTTCTCTCGAAACTTCTCTATGTAAATTCAGTACCTAGGTTTTTCCGAGTTTGATAAATGTTCAAAGTTAGACAGGCAGCGAAATAGAAAAGCATCGAATTTAAAAAAAAATTTCAATTTTCTTTTATACTGAAACAAATCGGGAATCGACAATATCAGCTCTACAAAGCAATTCTACGATTCTCCTCGCGTTCTATCAAGAATAATTCAATTTCTCAGTGATTTAAAATTTGTTGCTTCACAAAAACTTTGTCTCTCCTTTCTCCCGTTTGTTTATGAAAAATTGACGTAAAATAGTGTTCGAGTACACGTGTACAGGCCTAAAACGCGTCCTTCATTCCTCCTCGATAGTGTTCGCCGTCGCATTCACTCGTTATACAACGGTAAACTGCAAAATTGGTGTAAAAAAAAAAAAAAAGGTTTGAAGCCAATTAGAACCGCGGGAGAACAAAGCGGCTCGTTTCGACGCGACCTCCTCTGCTTGAAGGGTTAATGTTGTACCGTTTGCAATTATTCGAACGATAATGAATTCTAACTTAACTCGCCAGTCGTACAGTTACTCGTTAAGCAAACAGCTGCATCCGCGGCAGATAAGTTCCAACGTCTGTATTTCGCCCGTTTCGGGGCGGAACGTGCTCGAAAATTCATTTTAGTGCTCGCCAATTAGACCGCGCGCCTTTTCAAGCGTGTAAGTAAGTACCTGTTGTTTCGTTTCAGTGAGAAACCAGTCCATTACCAGCATTCAAATTCAATTTCTCTCGAGCCATTTTAATTATCACTCTGAAAAATAAATTCGGTATATTTCGTCGGAGTATCGTAGGCATAAATTTTTGTTCAGAATGAAAGGTACTAATTAAAGTGATGGAAGAATGAAGAGAAAAGGAAAATGAAACGAACCTCATAAGTAATTTGCCTACCTCTCTGTTCTTGTTTCGTTTCAGTAGAATTCAATTTTCAAAATAATTACATTTTTTTGAAGAGAATTAAATTCTTTTAAACAGGAATTAGAAAACAACTTAAATCCTTGATTCTTTAACGTAAAGATCATTATGAGCAAATGTACAGTTTTCTTCTAGTCACCCGTAATCATGTGCATGCGTTCTTTATAAGTAGAAGATAAGCTTCTTTTCTCTTTCAGTATTCATATTCTTATGAACGAGATGTCATAAGTAAATACACAAGTTCATCACGTTCCATGCCACGTGTGTGTACCACCGGTGCTTCACAACAGTTTTCATTAAACGGGACAAGTAATTCTATCACTTGATGCTCATAAAGAATATACGCAAACGGCGATCAAGAGTGTTAATAATTCAACACATATCGACATACCCCTATAATTAAATATTACAACACGACTTTTTAACTTCGTTTCAACGCTCTAATAAAACTTATAATTCTTCTTCTTCACCCTTTCTTCAAAACAACGAAGAAACTTTCCCTTTTCTTACATTTAACTTCAGAAATATATAAAAAAAAATTGTCCTCCTTGCTACCCGAAGCCTCTTTTTCCAAAATAATGTAAAAACTTGCCATTCCCTAGCATTATACTCACAAAGAAAGAAAGAGAAATTATAATCATCCAACGATAAATTTCTAATTTTTTTTCTATTTAATGCTTGACCGTTCAAAGCCACTTTTTCCAGGATAATATCGAAACTTCCTCTTTCCTCGCATTTAAATTCGCAAATAAATGAAAAGAAAAAAGTGTTAGTTAAAATCGTCTAACAATAAATTTCTAATATTTCTTTATGTTCTGCTCGATCATTTGAAGCAATTATAAATACTCGTCGCCGTCAATTTTCCCCGAAAAAGAGCAATCTGAGAAGGGGACAGTAAATTGCGACTGCAGAGAAATCGGCTCGAACAGTGTGTCGACAAGTGGCGTGCAACTGCGTCAAACGAAGCCAGTAGCTTCGAGAGATGCGATAGATAGACAGTCGGGTAATTAGCGGCTGCTGATTGGTCACCTTCCTCCTCGATATATCCGAGGCTGGTCGGGGATGCAGGAGCGTATAAACGTGTTGCGTGGCCGTGTGGCTATGGTGGGGGCTTATTTACTCGCTATTCAAACCATGCCGGGTTGGCCGATCGTCGACAAGACGAGGCAACGCCAGTCCGCGTCTGACACTCGTTGTGATCGCGCTCTACGTTTCGAACGATGCATCGATCCGCACTCCGATCGTCGTGTCCTCGTTGCGAACAGTCTCAAACCGCTGGGTGTTGTGCTCTGAAAAAGCAAAAGTGTTCCTTTTCTATCTGAATAAAACTTCGACAAACATTTCTCGCTGCACCCGCTCTTACCAATGTTTCTTACGAATTTCTCGACTGTGTGAAAAAAAAAAAAACAGGGAATCTCTTTACTTATACGAAAGAAGGAAAGAATTTAATTAATCGAGACTGCTATTGTGTGGTTGAAACAGAAAGAAAGGGGCCAATACACGGAGTTTATCAAGTGACTTGTTCAATGCGATCGATCGATCGTGATCGAGAGAGTTCTCGGGATCACATGTGCCGCGAAATTGACATGGAACTTTTCGTTCGTGTGGTCAGACTGTGTGACAAAGTGAAAGCGTTCCGATCGATCGTTTTAAGCGCGGAGAATCGTCGAACAGCGCGTGAAATTTACGTTTGAGGGGAAGAGACCTAATAAAAGGGGGGAAGAGAGGAAGAAGGAAAGAGAGAGAGAGAGAGAGAGAGATTACTTTTGGGCCCAGAGGTCCTTGGGGACCTCCTAATGGCACCCGACCTTGAGAAAAGACGGCAGGAACTAAGGAGGACCAGCAGCGGTACCTTGGAACCGGGACACGAACACTTTCAAATGCTCCTGCAGCTCCGATGCACCGGAAACGCATTGGCTGAGCCTTATCGACACGGTAAACTCGATCTCCACCTGCGCATGATTATTTGCTACTTAATATTCAACCAGTCTCGATCGCCACCAGATAGTCGGGTAATTAATATTTCAAGCTGGAACGAAATACCAGTTGTATGGTATTTTGAATATCTTTTTCTCTCCTTTTCTCTCTCTCTCTTTCTTCGTTTTTCTACTTTTTATACAGCCTTCCGGTTTCTAGAGTTTTCTTGGACATTTTACACATCGTACGTTCGATATTTACATCGATAGACTTCTACGATCTTGTTGTACATTCTAATTCATTTCTCTTCGAATATAGAATTGTTTTTCAAGAAAAATCTGTCCAACGATTTCTTTTGTTCCCGTTTATCTTTGGAGTTCAAGAAACTCGCCTCGAGTGGCGCTTCGCTCTCGTATGTCAGTTTTCTTTGGGTTTAACAGACGTTACATGTTGGACACAGATGTACGTCTTTATCAAACAATTTTCTTTTCTTTTTTTTTTGCGAGTTTGGGGTGTCAAGGTTTTCAAGGGTTAGCCTGTAACGGGATGATTAATTAGTGGGAATTAGAGAAATTACGAGGGACTCTCTTCGGTTCGATTGAAATTGATAATAGGCTTTGCATTTTCATTCAACCGCTTTCTCTCTTTGATAAATGTCTACCCTCGGGCGAGTCCACGACTCGCTTGTTTATACTCTCGCCGATGGGAACACACCTCGATTCCTCCTTTTTCCCTTCTTCTTCTTTATTTTAACTCAACTCCTCTCCCACAGCGGTGCGATTATTCTGTTCCAAATTCCATAAATTTGTTTGCTCTTTTTTTTTTTTTTAGACGTGGATGCCTTTTCTTTATATAAGTTGGCAACGTGCGTCGAACAACAAGCTTTCGAGATTTCTCGTCCGAAATAGTGCATTATTTTCGCTTCTGTTGAATCTTCGATAAGATTCCTACCGTTTTATGCGTACAAATATTGACAGAAAGAATTTGGAGGCAGCGTAATTATACAAAGATAGGTTGGGATATACAAAAATGTACTCTGAAGTGGTCATTTATGGCGTGCAGTTAATTACGATACAGCGAGAACTGAAATTTACATTTTATTAGTACATAATTGGTGGCCATGAAATATCCTAAACGTACCCTGAGACATTTTTTTATTTCGAGGTGTTTCGAATTTCGATACTTGGAATTTTTAATTCGACTGTCAATAACTTCCTTTATTTCGGTGTTTCTCAGTTTTCGATATTGGAGTTTTCAATTTTTAATTCCACGGTTAAAAATATCTCGAAATATTTTTTATTCGGAGTTATTCATATTTTCGATAGTTTGAATCGTTAATTTTTACTTCCAGAGTCAGCAGTGTGCGAATACATTTTCACGAACATTACAACTTGCGATAATTTTTTGAATTTAATTTTCCAATTTCTATCTTTTAAATCTAAGTGCACATTTCTCTAATAAAATTCTACAAAACCGAAATTCCATTTTCTCCGACATTTCACCTAAAACATTTCCTCAATCGCCGACACGAACATTCTTCTGAAAATTACATCGTGCAACGTGACCAATCAAATTCATGAAACTGGTGTCGCACAACGTCCACCCCTGCTTCCACGAAACTCGCGGAGAAGTCGTTACATTTCCACGCTATTATTCTTCCGTTGTTATCTTCGAGCCAGATACATATTATTGTTAGAAACGTTCCCGCCTGTTGTTTCGTCTCCTCTAACACCCGGGAAATCGAGTCGTTCGCTTGTCCAGATAACCTTTGAGGACGCCTCCTTCCTCCCCCTCCGTCATCACATCCACCACCTTCTTTTCTTCCTCTTTTCCTTCATCGCTCAACGAGCACAATAAATCACTGCCCTCGCGCCCGTTCTCCTTCGCCCTTGATACAAGCTCTCCTCTTCTCCCCTGCGTCCACCTTTTAATCACGCCGCTTACGATTCACTCGTTCACGACGCAGACGGCAGAAGCTCGACTGCGCGAGACGCGCTCGTGAATCGCGATACTCCGGTTATCGCTGTTGGAAAGCGCTTTTGCGCGGTCGTTGCCAGGCGAATAGGAAGAAGGGGGAGCCAATCCGTTTCAGAACCGCGCGAATCCGCCTCGAAACCTCTTCGACCAATCCCAGCAGCTTGCTCGTCTCTCCTCGAGCTTTGCCTCGCGATTTTCTCTCGAGCCTTTGGGACAATCGCTTGGCGAGAACCCTCCAGTGTTTTTCTTCTTCTCCTTCTTCTTCTTCTTCTTCCACTTTAGTCTATGTATCGTCTGCTTGGACTATCGGTAAGAATTTTCAAGGTGTGAGAGGGTGAATATTGTAGATTGTCCGTCTGATCTGGAACGAATCTTTTCTACTTGGTGAGTCGAACTAGGTGGCAACAGATATTTTACGATCGACAGGCGAGAGTGTGTTGCTGGTTGCTTTCTTGGCGAAAGTTTCTTCGGTGCGTACTAATGTTTCTCCGAGTAAAATCGAGAGATTTCGTAAAACCGAGTTTGTATTCCACGAGAAGTGTATCTGTATTGTTACCTGTTGAGAGGAATTCAAAGAAGCTTTGAATTCTTTGAAAATTTCTTTCGAGAGAACATACTGTGCAGTGGAAATTAATAACGAGAAATTTGGAAAGTTCATCGTATGTGAATTTTATGTTTGTACAGATATCAGAAACAAGTGTGTTCCTTTTTTATGTCCCAAACACACACACCGCGATAACAGAGGTTACGAGATTGTGTAATCCTATCTAATCGTCGATTGTTATTTAATACAGTCATAAAAACCGTCTGAATGTCTAGAAAAACTTTCAGTCGCGAATTTCAGCACAGTCCACGCGATCTCAAGGGGGTATTCTAGTCTAGACCTTTCGAAAAATCGATTTCTTCCTTTTTTGCATTTGAATTTCGGCTTTTGCAGCATTTTGTAGTGAACCGCACTCCCCTCACCGCTTTTTGGCAATATTTAGCTCATATTTATATGTTTCTATTGTATACTATCCCTCTTTGACTCGAAGTAACATAGTAGCATAATTCCTTTTTAATTTGACTGTGTAGGTATATCGCAAATTAATCGCAAGAGCGTATATCACACGAAATACTTGAAACGCGTTTTTCTCGAAGCGTTCATTTTTCAACTGACGGAAATAAAATTAGAAAAAAAAAAAGCTAATCAACCGATCGGTCTGAAATTTCAAGACGTCATTCTGCATACTATTGGCTCTCGCAGGTAGCGGATTTACATTTCTATGTTCAAAATTTCATATTTTTTACGTCCAGAAACTTTTAAAGAAGTGAAAAATTTCCATACTTAAACTTCGAATGCACGTCGTTTTGTTAAATTTCGACTTATGCGGCTAATTCTGGTACCTGTGATAGCAGCACTTATACTATAAATCTTCCTGATTTCTTTTTTTGTTTGAGCTGAAATCACTCCCGTCAGCGAGGCATGTTCTTTTAAATGCGCTGTCTTTACCTCGAAATATAGCATTAAACAGACAATTAGAAAGTTATTCAGAAAATTGTTTTGCATGCTCTATAAGTGTCTTAATATGTGAACAAAGTTTGACATTGCTATTCATCGTAGAACACTGAGAAAAAAAATCCTGAAGATAGGCGAAATTTACATCGTGTAGACTAAAATACCTCCTCAATAATACACTTTCGTTTAATTAGGCTCACTTTTCCATCGGTAACATCGTCCAAAAAAATCGCTCTTAACATTATCACAGTGTAACTTTTTCTTTCTTACTGTTTGTTTCTTTATCGACATACTGTGAATTCTTTTACCATCGACCATGAGATTATACAATGCGTTCAATTTAAACGAGAAGCGAGAGAAGAAAAGAAAAAACGGATTCAAGTTAAAAGTGATTCGAATTTCGCGCCTTTAGTACGAGGTTTTCGAATTTGCATCGAATTAACAGGCGAAATACTTCTTCGGCGACTTGGACGATTATTTTTCTCTCTCTGATTTTCGATTGCATTAGCATACGCGGAGGATCGATGATCCAGCTGCAGGCGTCGTGACCTTTCGATGGATCGATTTCCCGTCGATCTTACTTGTCCACACCAGCTTCCAGTTACCTGAGCGTGGCCAATGAGGTGACCCGACGTTAAAATTATCATAAATTAGCGTAGAACTCGGTGTCAAGTCCGTGAATATATTCCGATCGAGCTCTGAGCAAGCGTTTTCGCAGACTATTAGATAGGTCAGGCATTATTGCATCGCGATATATCTTCTTCGGCCGATTTATATATAGAAATATAAAGTATGAATAGATGTAGAAAATATAAAAGAAAGCTGCACGTGTTGTCGGTTTTTTCTTCATCCCCGTTGTCTCCTTGTTCGACGATAAGTTGAAAGCCTTTTTCGTAATGGAGTGACAGCCCAAAGAAGAAGTTCGAGGAAACAAGATATATTTTTGATTACGTGTACAAACATGTATTTCACTGTCGAATGTAAGGTAAGTTTGTTTCGCTGGTATTTTAGGCGAATTGCAATAAAAATTATTGAAATTTTGAAAGAAAAAATAACACCGACTTGAAGAATTTTGTAATACTGAAATCTAATCTGTGTCTTTCTTCGTCGTCTTGATAATACTTTTTGCGCAAACCCTAAACGAACTGAAGCAAACAAAGACTTGACGGATTAAAGCGGCATAAAGAATGCAACGAAACGATCATGAAACTGTTTCCAAGAAGCTGCCATAGAAAATCAGCCTGTTTTTCGATGCAAATCCAAGTTTTCGCTGATCTTCGATCGAAATCGAATAACACGTAGGACGGTTGTTAGTGTTGTAAGCGTTTCTAGGATCTCCTCGATCGTGTAAAGGCTTCCTGGAACGTAGGTGAGACTTTATATTGCCGTGGAAAACCGAGCAAGACCGTGGCGTCGCGACGCATAGCTCGAATTCTTCGCGAAACTGTTCAACGTCGCTGCATTTTCCATAGAAAGAAACGACGCATTTTCCGCCGCGATCGAAACTGCACCGTCAGCTGAAAACTCGTATAAGTTATCTATC